GGGCTCATGCAGACATAGATTCTGCAAGATTTGACAACTAATGGATATGGGGAGGAGGAGGAGTTACTGAAAGTGAAGAGACAAAAATGATATTATAATATCATTATATTATGTGATATTAAGAATGACATGATATATTATAATGTTATATATTATATGTAACTATATAACTAACTATATGTGTATGTGTGTGTGTATATATATATTTATATAAATATATATATACACACACACACACATATATACATACATGTCATCAAGGAAGTGAATCTTGGTTACTGGAAGCATGGTGATACTTTCAGCAAAAATAGGGAAGTAAGGAAGAGGTTTTGGGGGACAGATAATGAGCTCTGTTTTAGGCAAGTTGAGTTTGAGATGTTTGTGGGATAATTGATGATTTGGGACTGGAGATGAAGAGAAAGATGACTGATTTTCAGGGATGTCATAGAGGGGTATGGAGAGGGGTTGGATTGGACAGTTTCTGAGCTCCCTTCCAACTCTGGGATTGGACTATTTGGTCTTTGAGAACATTTCCAAGACTGTTATTCTGAGGTTCTGTGATTCTGTGGATTGAGTTTTATAGAGCTGCTTGATTTTGGCTAGGGCTAAGAAACCCAAAGGAATTCCAGATTTTGTTACCTCTGCCAGGAAGTGTCAGGTTGGCAGAGAATCACTCACACCCTCCAGTGAAGGGAAGTTTGCCTGAATAGACAGAGACAGTGTGTTCTTCTCTCTGGTCTTACCCCACCCTCTCTCCCCAAAGTAGGCTTGAGGGTAGGAATATAGCTATAGTTGTCTGGCATGAGTTGGGGGCCAACATGCCACCAAAGGCTAGACAGTTCTGCTCTGTGGGCCGAAATGTTATCTGCTAAAAAATCCATGTTCTCTCTACAGCTTTTCCTAAACTGTACCAACTGATTTATGTTGGAATGAGTTGTGAAACAGTTGGCAGTTCCTGATAAGCAAATCAAAATTGTCTAACAGTTATTAGCTGCCTTTCATTTGCAAGGTGAGAGAGTAAATAACATAAGGTCAAAAGCTGGACTTGGACCCAGGAATAATTGGGTGCAAATTCTGTCTGATGCTTACTAGCTATGTGACTCTAGGCATGTCACTCAGCCCCTCTAAGCCTCAGATTACTGTCATAATATGCTGTAGATAATACGGTATAGATATGTTACAGTCTGCCTCAGTGAAAGGAAAGTTCCCATACCAAAGAGATCTTTGACATATTGACATGTTTGGAAGGCAGTACTGAAGACACAAAGATCAAGGGTGGGAAATGGTCCCTGCCCTCAAGAAGATTACAGTCTAGTAGAGTAACATATGGAAGATAAAATTTTCTCAATGATGATGAATCATCTAAAGAATGTATAATGACGCTTTTCTACCATTTGCTTAAGAGCTCTATAAGCCATTAAAGCCAGGATGCCAGTGGAGATGATAATAACTGACGTATTTATATAATACATTGAGGTTTCCAAAGGCATCTTCCTCACAATAATCCTGCAAAGTAGGTAACATATATTATTCCCTTTTTGTTATTGTTGTTATTGTGCAGTCATATTTGATTCTTCGTGACCTCATTTGCATTTTCTTGGCAAAGATACTGGAGTGGTTTGCCATTTCCTCCTCCAGCCTATTTTACAGATATGGAAACTGAGGCAAGCAAGGTTAAGTGACTTGCCCAGAGTCACATACCTAGTAAGTGTCTGTGTCATATTTGAACACAGGAAAATGAGTCTTCCTGACTTCAGACCCAGCATTTTATCCACTGTGACACCTATCTGATCTATTCCCATACTACAGATGAGGAAAACCAATCTCTCTCTCTCTCTCTCTCTCTCTCTCTCTCTCTCTCTCTCTCTCTCTCTCTTTTTGCTTTTAGGCAATTGGGGTTTAAGTGACTTGACTTGCCCAGGTTTCACACAGCTAGTAAGTGTCAAGTATTTGATCTGAGGTCACATTTGAACTCAGGTCCTCCTGACTTCAGGGCCGGTGCTCTATCCACTGCGCCACCTAGCTGCCCCCAAAACCAATTCTCAGAGAAGTGAAATGTCATGGTTCAAACCACCAAAAATGCCTGGCAGGATTCAAACCAAAGTCCTCAAGTCCTGGTTCTTTTAGCTGTACTGTTACTGTCTCCTGTTGACTTTTCTTAATGTGTAATTTCAGCAAGCCTAAAAGCAGAGATGCCCCTGAGAAATGATAACACGAATTCCCTATCCTTTGCCTTCCATTCTTTAACCTGGGAGCCTTCTAATACCCTTAGAATAATACCACTTTCTAATAACTTCTAATACCATTCCTAGGCCACAGTGATGGTAGATCTTCCACTCACCATAGGTAGTAATTTTTCCTAAATGAGCACTGTGTGCAGAAAAGGAAGGAGAGGACAATCCCTTATCTAACTCGACAGAACTGGTCGACCTAGGCTATAGATGTCAAGGGCATAAAGGCTATGAAGGCACTAAACAGCTCATAGACACCTGAGGCTGATGAAATGATGACATCCATCCATGCTGGCCGACCAGTTCAATCACAGACTTCAAGCAGTGCTGATTAAGTCTACTCTGCATGGACTTTGTGGAAGTGCTTTCTCAGAACTCTTTTGTTTTCCTGGCTAGGCAATGAGGTTAAGTGACTTGCCTGGGGTCACACAGCTAGTAAGCATTATGTGTCTGAGGTCAGCGCTGAACTCAGGTCCTCTTGACTCCAGGGCAGTGCTCTATTCACTGCATCACCTAGCTGCCCCTCTCAGAGCTCTCAATGAAGAATTAGACATATACAAGCCTCTGCATGATTTTTCATGGGTTCCTAGCTCTGGAGCCGAAAGAGACCTCAGAAATCATTTACTCTATCCCCCTCCCATTTTACAGATCAGAAAACTTAGGCCAGGGAGGATAAGTAACTTGCCCAAGCTCACATATAGGTAGTAAGTGTAAGAGCCATAATTTGAACCCAGATCTTCTGGTTCCGGAGCCAGAATGCTTTCCACTATGCCATCCTGCCCTTTTGCTTCTTGCTTTTATTATAGTTAGTCACTTCTCTTCCATCTGGCCTCTCCACTCCTGGCATGCTCCCTAGCCACAGGGCATCATTCTACTGGATGTCAGTAATAATCAGCAAGTGCTTAGAGAAAAACAGTCTCCTCTCTGAGAGAGAAGACAGAGAGATGCCTGACTTGGCATGCTCCGAGGGCCCCAGGTTCTGTCTGAACTTTAAATCCAGTCCAGAGCTTCCCACAGGCTCCCAGCCATCGTGAAAATCAGCACACATCACAAATGTAAATATCCTTTCTGCAGACCAATGTATTAAATCACTGGGGCTTTAAGCTGAATGCGGAGTTATTACGCAGTGTCTCTGGCAGCCTCTTCTTTCCCCCTTTCCTCTTACCTTCCTTTACCGATGTTCCTCCAAAAAATCTTTTGAATCTGTTATGAAAGTTACAATCTCCAGAACCAGCCCAGGGAGCACATTCCTTTATCTATTTCAACAGACCTTCCAGAACATAGGAGGGGGCGGGTTTTTTTTTTCCTGCTCTCCCCCTGACCTAGACATTTTTTAATTTTTCCAAGACCAGCATTTGTGTGTCCACTCTTTGGGAATGCCTGGAGTTTGTCCCAACACCGTATGTCTCCACCTGCAGCCTGTTTTGGAACCTTCCACATAAAGAGATTTGTTTCACGCAGCTTTCACTGAAGAAATGTGTGAAAAATGGGGGCAGAGGGAAAGAGGAAGAGAATGACCCTTTAGCAGAAGTCACCCATTGACCTCCCTGCTTTTTTTATGCTCTCCATTAGCCTGACAAATTTTGCAGCCAAATCAGACACTTTCCAGGAGAGACTTGTTTTCTTTGAAATGGGGCCTTGAAGATTTCAAATCTCAGGCACTGAATTATCTCTTTCAGAGATAATTCCTATAGGGAGGACTAAGTGGTATATTGCCTAAAAAAAATCTTTCCTGGGGATTTGAACCCAGCTGTGACACCTTCCCTTGGGTGACCCAACCCAGCAGTGAGCCTCTATTTAAGAGAGAATCTGGGTTAAGCTCAAGATACATTGATGGGACTGAGTTAGGGCTCCCACTTCAACCCAATACCCTAGGAGACTAGGGTTCTAGGCTTAGCATTGTCACTAGCCAGCCTTGAGACCAGGGACAAGGGACTGTCTTCTGGGCCTAAGTTTCTTTTTCTGCAAATGAAGGAGTTGAACCAGATGACTTTTTTCTGACACTTAGAATTTTGCAAGTTAGGGCAAATAAGCATTTATCAGGTGGTTATTATTCGTACAGTACCGTACCAGAGGTTTCGCAGTCCCGTTTCTCACTTCTTGTTAATCTGCCTATTGCTAAACTACTGAACTCATAGAGTAATTCAGAGAAAAGCCCTTTTGCCTGGACTCAGTAAAGGCCCATTTCTCTGTCCTTGGTCATCACATCTACAAATTCAGGGTGTTGGACTGGAAGATCTCTGAGTATTCTAAGTCCTATATGATCTTCAATCTTCATCTTTCCAGTAGAATGTAAAGAATGTAACTGGGGCAGCGAGGTGGTGCAGTGGATAGAGCACCAGCCCTAAAGTCAGGATGACCTGAGTTCAAATCCAGCCTCAGACCAAACACTTGACACTTACTAGCTGTGGGACCCTGGGTGAGTCATCTAACCCCAATTACCTAAAAAGAAAAAAAAACTGCAAAAAAAAAAAAGACTATAACTGATCTCCTTGGTATCAGGACTACTTTTTCTTTTGACTTTGTATTTGGTGCTTTGCACATAGTAGGTACCTAACAAATACTCTTTGAACCGAACTGAATGGAATTGTAAGTCTTAAAATACTTAAATATACTTTAAAATACTACAGAAATGTGGGCTGTTATTGTCTTTGCCCTTATTCTACAACAAGCATAGAAAGGTCAAGTGCCTTCTCTGAGAGCATACAGCAAATCTGTGACAGAGCCAGCAGAAAGCTGTCTGCTTTCTAGGACGAGGCATTTACGTACCCTGAGCAAGTTTTGAAAAGTGTGTCCCCTGTGTGTTACTGTCCCAACACAAAGACTTTGAGCCTTCTCTGTAAAACAGGCAACTTGACATCACAAAACAGAGACCTGCACCCAACAGGGAGTGAAATTATCTGTAACGGAAAATACACAAATGTATCAAAAATAAGTAAACCCCATCAGATAATCAAGAGTCACATCTCCTGCAACGTATGAAGCGTCATATCACGGAGCTGTCCTTCAGGGGACCGCCCATCCTCCTGGGAGGGAGTAGGTGTTAAAAGTAAAATCTGAAAATGTCCCTGCTGGCACCCCCTGAAACTTGCACCCCTGGCCGCCTCCCACCTTGCCTACCCCTCGTGTCAGCTCTGGCTCTGTCTAAACTGTCATGTTGCCTCTCATCAACGTCGTCTCTTTCAAGGGCCTTGTGCTCATTCCAAGCTTTGAAATAAAGGACAAAACTCACATTTCTGCCAGACAGATTGTATCCAGGCTCCTCTGGAGGAGTAGCTAGCAGTCCCGGAGTGTGGTTTTGTATTTAAAGCGGCTGGATACCCAGAAAGAATCTAAAGTCCATCAAGCTCTTTCACATGTCAGAGCCTATTCCAGGTCTTGAAATGGGGCCATGGAGGCCAGAGGCTTCTACCCAGAGAGCTGCATTCCTGCTAAGGCAATGGCATCCTGTGCTAGGCAGGAAACAAAGGGGAGATTGGGGAGCTTAGAGTTGTGGCTTGGTAAAGATGGCCCAGGAGGAGTGCAAGCCAAATGGCAGAGAGAAGCCTGTCCTCTATAATTACCTGCCCAGAGACCTAAGCCTGTCTGGGGGATCGCTTTTGCAGAGCCTCTGTAAAGGAAGTGTAGAAATTGCTTCTTTATTTCACATCATTTCTTTTTAAGGACCTTGGCTATTTTTAGAGGCCCCTTTGGCTTGCCAGCTGCCTTTGACTCTGCAAGAAAAGTTGAATGAAGACGACTTTTCCATCTGCATTGTTTGCTGTTTCCTGGTTCCATTGCCATTCTCATACTTCTGGGGCCTTATAGTTGGTATTCCACACACAGGTCTGTTCACAGCTCTCCCTTTAGACAGTTGGCAAGGATGTGCTGGGCTTTACGGGAATGAAAGGGAGAGAGCAAGAGAACGCCAACCAAAGACAACATGAAATGACTGATTGTTTTATTTTATTTCTCTGGGTGAAGGCCTAATTTTTTAATGATGAAATAATTTGGAGTGGAGGTAAAGTCTGCATCCAAGAAACTGAGCTGAGAGATCTGTCCTTCCCTTGGTGTCTGAGTCCCCTATGGAGAAAACAGATTGTGCTCCTAAGAGAAAATATATTTGAAATCCTGCAGCCACGGCTGGTCCAAGAGTACAGTTCTGAGAAAGACAGAACAAGTTTCATGTCTCACCCACCCCAACTCAAATCAGCTCTTTTTGCATCTGGCCAGCAGCTAAATGTTACTGCCACCACTTCAGGCCTTCTCCTCTGGGCTGACTTTTTCCCAGTATTTGCTTTTTTTTTTTTTAAACTGAGCTTTCACTATCATTTCCATCACCCTTTTAGAACCGGATGAGATTGTGGGGTGGTAGAAACTATATCAGGTTTGAAGCCAGAGGACCTGGGTTCAAATCCCAGTTCTGCCACTATTATTTAGGTGACCTTGGGGAAATCACTTAAGAACCCTATGGCTCAGTTTCCCCCTTTATAAAATGAGGGGGCCATACTAGATGGTCTTTAAGATTCCTTCAAGGGGCAGCTAGGTGGCACAGTGGATAGAGCATTGGCCCTAGAGTCAGGAATACCTGAGTTCAAATCCAGCCTCAGGTATTTGATGCCTACTAGCTGTGTGACCCTGGGCAAGTCACTTAACCCCACTGCCTAGCAAACAAAGACAAAAAAAAAAGACTACTTCAAGTTCAATATCTAAGAGCCTATGAACTGAACCCTATTTCTTTCTCATAGAACAAAGATTCTTGATATGGAGAAACTATATTAAAAACAGACTCTCTAGGATGCCAAATTCTGTAACTCTATTAGGCCACAAAAGAAAAGGAGAAAAGTCAGGGGGGTTTTTCTCTCTCTGCGATCATGCTGTCTTTTTGGTCATGATTCAGTGAGGCCTACAAAGAACTGACTCAAAGGTCACCCCTGGAGGTTCAAGAGCTTCTTTTGAATTGGGGGAGGGGCACAAAAGTAGACATGTAAGTGAATAGTGTGAGCATCCTGTTTTGGTGTTCATATAGGTCCTGCTGGGTTGAGATATTGACAATGAAGTCACCTTCCTGATGTGCTGTTGCTATCTAGACCAGACCCCTTCTGGCTTATATAATTGATAGATGACATACAGATGAGAAGCTTAATGAATAAAAATCCAATATAATATATTTATATATAATACATAAATTATAGATATATAGATATCATGAAGAATTTGCCAGGAAGGGAGGAAGTTATTTAAATTCACTAGTTGTCTATATGAAAGTTCAAGTAGGTGGTAGAAGAGTGCTGTATAGCACCTAGGAGTGCTGTATAAATATGACCTCACAGGCCTAATCCCAATCCTTTCCTTCATTTTGTAAGTGGGGAAAGTCAAGTCGGGTGCTAGGCATATAGTGAACATAAGTCATTCATTAGCTGGTTGGTTGTGTCTCTAGTGGAAGATGCTAAACAATTAACCTTTTTGTACAGTTTTTAATAAATGCTTTTTGCCAAATACCCTTTTGGCTATTTTCTCCTCCCCATCAGAATCCAAAATCCATCAATCAGTCAACAAGTATTACATGGCAAAGAATACTGAATTTGGAATCTCAAGAACCTGGATTCAAATTCCAGCTCTTCTACTGACTACTTGCATGACCTTAGAGAAGCCAAAGATTTAGGGCTGGAAGGAACTACAGAGGTCATCAAATCCAACCCCGCATTTTACAGGTGGGAAAACTGAGGCCTAGAGAGGTGAAGTGATTTTCCCAGAGTCACATAGCTAATAAATACTTGAGACAGGATTCAAATCCAGATCTCTCTGATTCCAGGTCCAGCATTCACTACCTGCAGATTCCCTTGGTCTTTGTACCCAGGCTTGTACTAGGCACAACAGAAAATACATGAGAAATATAAACCCATGAAGAGTTTACTATCTTGTTAAGGAAATAGAGTATAAACTGTTCATTGTGCAATATAAACAAAAAGCAAAGTAAGTGAAGAAACCAGAAGGTGAGAAGAACAGATTCTTCTATGTTAGTGAACTGACCCTCTCCACTCCCAGATCTTCTTGTCAAGGTGGAAGGGTTTACATAGCTCAGTGAAACCAGGAGCTATTCTGTTCAGGGTTACCGAAGACACACAGGTCATAGTGGAGAGTTCCATGGGAGAAGAAAATAGCAAACCACTCCAGCATCTTTGCCAAAAAAATCCCATGGATTTTCCCATGGATAAAATGATAAAAGAGACAATACCAGAAGATGAGCCCCTCAGGTCAAAAAGTGTCCAATATGGTACTGGGGAAAAGCAGAGGACAACTATAAGTAGCTCCAGTACTAATGAAGCCACCTGGCCAAAGCCCAAAGGAAGCTAATGGAAGCAGTGTCAGATTTTATATTCTTGGGCTCAAAGATCACTGTAGACAGTGACTACAGCCATGACATTAAAAGACACTAGCTCCTTGGAAGAAAAGCTATGGCAAATCTAGACAGCATACTAAAAAGCAGAGACGTCACTTTGCCAACAAAGGTCTATATAGTCAAAGCTATAGTTTTTTCAGTAGCATTGTATGGCTGTGAGAGTTGGACCATAAGGAAAGCTGAGTGCCACAGGATCAATGCTTTCAAATTGTGGTGCTGGAAAAGACTTTGGAGAGTCCATTGGACAGCAAGGAGATCAAATCAGTCAATACTTAAAGGAATTAATTCAGACTATTCACTGGAAGGTCAAATGCTGAAGCTTAAATGCTTTAGCCACATAATGAGAAAACAGGACTCATTGGAAAAGACCCTGATGATGGGAAAGATTGAAGGCAGAAGGAAAAGGCAATGGCAGAGGATGAGATGGATAGATAGTGTCATTTAAGCAATGAACATGAGCTTGGACAGATTTCGGGAGATAGTAGAGGATAGCAGGGCCTGCTAGGTGGCACAAAAGATAGAACACTGCTCCTGGAGTCAGGAAGCTTCATCTTCCTGAGTTCAAATCTGGCCTCAGACACTTAACTAGCTTTGTGACCCTGGACAAGTCACTTAACACTACCTCAGTTTCCTCATCTGTAAAATAAACTGGAGAAGGAAATGGCAAATCACTCCAGTATCTTTGTCAAGAAAACCCCCAAATGGGGTCACAAAGAGTCAGACATAACTGAAAAATGGCTGAATAACAACAGAAGGGCCTGGAGTGCTAGTCCATAGGATCACAAAGAGTTGGATGCAACTGAAAGATGACTAAACAACAAAAAACTTACTTTCTTCAAGAATACAGTCAATTCTTCCTGATTTTCCTTATCTGTAGAATACGGATGATAAGACCTGCCTTACCTACTTCACAAGGCGAATGAATGGCAATTGTCTTAAGCTCCTTAGAGTCAGGGTGAGAGACCTGAAACAGGGCAACCAGTTAAGAGACTACTGCAATAATCTAGAAGAGAGGTGATGGGGGCCTGAACTAGTGGAGAGAAGAGATCAGATAGGAGAGATGATGTGAGGTAGAAATAGAAAGATGTGGCAACTGATTGGCTGTGTGGGGTGAGGGAGAGGGCGGAAACCGAGACGATGCCAAGGTTTAAAATCTTGATGGTGAAATATGGGTGAGGAAATGAGGCATCCCTTTGCAGACATGGCCAATGTACTGATTTGTTTAATAAACAGTACATTGTTAAAAGGATAGGAGGTCCTAGTGCAGTGTGTGTGGGAAGAATCACTTGGAAAAAATAGCAATGCACATTTTTAAATTTTCAACAAAACAGGAAGAAAGGAAGGAAGGAAAGAAGGTAGGAAGGAAGGAGGCCTAGAGTTCTTTTACATCCCCAAAGTCTGGACTCAGTTATAATAAATTCTATCTGTTCTGGAAGACGTGCCGCCTTTGCCCAGATTTCCTTTGTAGAATAAAGTATAGTACCTTCTGTCCTCCCCCACCCCACCCCAAAGCAAATT